TTCCTATAACCCGTGATTTTCTTAAAATTAAAAAAAAGTATATGAAGGCTAATGAAGCTATTTCCCCTTGTGATGGCAACATTATACCCGGTCGAATGCTTAGCATGCTGGGCTTTCAAGCAAGAGACCCGAGTTCGAGTCCTCGGTAAGGCTGATGGACTGTCTTTTCTGTCGGAGGTAAAAAAAAAATCCTTACCTGCACAGACCTTGGCGAAAGCACTAGCCATGCGATCCTAAATCCTCCGGGCCAAAGACTCTCCTGCCTCAACTGCAAAAATAGTAAATATCAGCAGTAGTGGTAGTGTTTTATACAGCTAAGGGAACACTCGTGCTGGGTAAAGGAGACATTCTGAAAACCACTTATGCAAACGGAAGACACCATATTAGATAAAATAACATGCACAACAATGTGTGAACGAGGAAATGGGTGTGGACTCGGCAAGGAGCGAAACAGACTGTAAACTATCTCAGCCTTAAGTACGCATTATATGCTCTCTCTCTCTCTCTCTCTCTCTCTCTCTCTCTCTCTCTCTCTCGCTGCTCCCTTGTTCAACACAACGTATTCATACACAGACAAGCGAAAGACAGTATCAATGTGATCATATTTTATGTACAAAAATTTTATACAAGTAAAATAAGGGTGGCAGTTTTGATTCTGTTACTGTTCTGGTATCTGCAGTGACAAAATATCAAGAAAAGATATAAAACCAAATGAAAAGTATATTAGCAAGCTTCACAATACAACAAATTCAACCAAAACGTGAACTTTGCGGCTATGAAGCCTTCATCAGCACATACACAAATCAAACAAAACAATACAAATACACAAAATCACTTAGCTGGTGTCTCGAGGCAGCCGGGTCGATGACTTCTTAACAGGCTGCCGACATGCCTGGGCCACGGGGAAAAATACTCCTTGTGAACTACCAGAGGCCATAACTGGGGGGGGGGGGGGGGGGTTTTATAGCTGTACAGTGTAGAAGAGTGTTTGAGAAATCCTACTAAATTTATTAATTGCACACAGAAGCAGTATTTACACACAATTTAAAAAAAAAATGGAAGCATTACTTTTTGACCATCCTTCATAAACAAAGTTCACTCAGCCTAACTTCCAGCAAAAATGTTAAGTAACATTACACAAATAATGTTAACCCAGCCTAACTTCCAACAAAATTGTCAAGTAACATTATAAAAATAATGTTAACCCAGCCTAACTTCCAACAAAATTGTCAAATAACATTATACAAATAATGTTAACCCAGCCTAACTTCCAACAAAATTGTCAAATAACATTATACAAATAATGTTAACCCAGCCTAACTTCCAACAAAAATGTCAAGTAACATTATACAAATAATGTTAACCCAGCCTAACTTCCAACAAAATTGTCAAATAACATTATACAAATAATGTTAACCCAGCCTAACTTCCAACAAAAATGTCAAGTAACATTATACAAATAATGTTAACCCAGCCTAACTTCCAACAAAATTGTCAAATAACATTATACAAATAATGGTAATCCAGCCTAACTTCCAACAAAAATGTCAAGTAACATTATACAAATAATGTTAATTCAGCCTAACTTCCAACAAAAATGTCAAGTAACATTATACAAATAATGTTAACTCAGCCTAACTTCCAACAAAATTGTCAAGTAACATTATAAAAATAATGTTAACCCAGCCTAACTTCCAACAAAAATGTCAAGTAACGTTGTACAAATAATGTTAACTCAGCCTAACTTCCAACAAAAAAATCAAGTAATGTTGTACAAATAATGTTAACCCAGCCTAACTTCCAACAAAAATGTTAAGTAACATTATTCAAATAATGTTAACTCAGCCTATTTTCAGACAAAAATGTCAAGCGAGATTATACGAATAATGGTTACTCAGCACAACTTCCAGTAAAAATGTCAAGTGACATCATACCACAAAAAAAGTAACTTAGCCCAACTTCCAGTAAAAATGTCAAGTGACATCCTACAAGCACACAAAAAAAAATAAAAAATAAAAAGGTAACTCAGCATAGCAGTGAAAATGTCCAGTAACATTATACAAATAATGTTAACTCAGTCTTATCATCAGGCAGAAATGTCAAAAAAAATTTGCTCAAATGCAAAAACTAAAGATTCACCCGAATGTATAATTTAAGTCACCCGAAAGTCATTAAAAAAAACATTAAGTCACTCTAATCTCATTATAAATAACTTCAATTCACTCTAAAAAGAATGCTCATTCAGGCACTCTTACTGCAAACACAATCACAAAGTAAACTAGACTTATGCTGCCTTAATTTTCTTCTTCTTCATGTCCACTAGAAAGTTCTGGTTGTTCGTCCACTTCTGGACTGCAGCCCTGTTCCAGAACCTGGGTGCTGTGTGTGCATCGATTTTACAGATCTGACCCATTTGAATACAGACTGTTGGTTGCTCGAATCGCAGGCAGATGCACTCAGACTTCATAGGAAGTGATCAGTTAGTCGACTCTTACAACATGCTTTCAGGGCCAGTGAACAGTGAACCCACACAGGGATCTTAATGTTCAAAACAATTTAACATACTGGCTGCAAGTTAAAGTTAACAAAAAAGGAAGTAAAAGACACTTTCCACACCATTATTACAGTGGGCAGAACTTTTTTTTTTTAGTTCACCCCATCTCTGGAACTTCAAGGTTTTGTGGGGAGTTCCTGATAAAATACAAGTTTTAGGTGGGGGGGGGGGGGGGGGGTGTCACCCTTACACCCCTATAATGTTGGACTTTCTCGGGAGCTCCCTGCGATGAGCTGAATTAAAAGAAACACACTGGGATCAAGACCTGCACACCTGATGGGTGATGTCATCAACATAATGCTTGGTTTGACCTGGATGACATAGTCACTTGTGGGGGGGGGGGGGGGGGGGGAAATGTCCAACTTGATGTGGATCTGAACCCAAGCATCCAACTAATACACCACCGTGATCCCCAAGTGCTCATACATAAGTTCAGTCCAGTGTATATGATTGGAAATAATGTTTCATTTAGTCTCTGCCATCTCTGTGGGTCCCACGTGGGGAAAGGGGAGAGACATACTTAATTGCTTTTTTATAATCTTTTAATAGAAACACAGGCCAAAAGCTGAGCGTCTGAGATGAAACAGATTAACAGATGCCATGGTAACAAATAATATCTCACTTCACCTCACATAGCAAAATAACTTCCCTTTACATCAAATTCTGAACCCGTTTTTAAAATCAAAGTTTGTTCATAAAATTTTTTTTTTTTTACTTCAGCCTAACATACTAATTACCTCACTTTAACATCCAATAACAAAATCATCTTACTATGCATCCACAAAAAGCATGTCATTTTGCTCTTACATTAAAACAATACCAACTATTTTAACTTTATATAACAAAATCATCATCCTTTAACCTCATATGAAACAATCATCTCCCATAAATATCATATAACAAAATCATCTCCCTTTAACCTCAGTTAACACAAGCATTTCCCTATAACCTCATACCAACACACTTATCTCCCTTTATCCCCATATAACACAATCATCTCCCTTTAACCGCATATAACACAATAATCTCACTCTAATCTCACCTAAAAGTATGTCACTGTAACTGCCTATTACAATTACAACATAAATGAAACAATTTAAAATCATTTAACATCTCTCATCAAATATCTCTCTTTAACATCACCTACAGGTATCCAATCCTATTTTAACCTCGTTTAACATAATCATCTCATTTTAACCACACCTGAAAGTATCCCACTTTACCTCTTTGAGTCCCAAGGAACGCATCATAGGTTCATAGGTTCCTACCTAGAAGCCCAATGAACGCATCATAGGTTCATAGGTTTCTACCTAGAAGCCCAAGGAACGCATCATAGGTTCATAGGTTTCTACCTAGAAGCCCAAGGAACGCATCATAGGTTCATAGGTTTCTACCTAGAAGCCCAAGGAACGCATCATAGGTTCATAGGTTTCTACCTAGAAGCCCAAGGAACGCATCATAGGTTCATAGGTTCCTACCTAGAAGCCCAATGAACGCATCATAGGTTCATAGGTTCCTACCTAGAAGCCCAATGAACGCATGATGCGCCGATTTTATTACTCTCTTTACTAACCCCTGGGCCTGTGATGCTAAACCCCCTGGGACTCAAAGAGTTAACCTCATTTAACATAATCAACTATTTAATATCAATTAAAAGTATCTAACTTTAGTCTCACCTAAAAGTATCTCTTTAACCTCAGTTAAAATAATCATCTCTTTTATTCTCATTGAAAAGTATCTAATTTTAACCTTAATTAATATAATAATTTCTTTTTATTATCTCCCTTTAACCTTTCACAACACAATCATCTCACTTTGGCCTCACCTAAAAGTATCTCACAAAGGTAACTCACATTAACCTCATTTAGCATAATCATCTCTTTTTCATCTTACCTAAAAGTATCTCACTTCAACTTTACCTAAAAGTATCTCACTGTAATCTCACCTAAAAGTATGTCACTTCAAATTTGCCTAAAAATATCTCGCTTTAACCTCACCTAAAAAGTATTTCACTTTAACTTTACCTAAAAGTATCTCACTTTAACCTCACCTAAAAGAATAACTGCAACCACACCTAAAAGTATCTCACTTTAACCTCACCTAAAAGAATAACTGCAACCACACCTAAAAGTATCTCACTTTAACCTCACCTAAAAGAATAACTGCAACCACACCTAAAAGTATCTCACTTTAACCTCACCTAAAAGAATAACTGCAACCACACCTAAAAGTATCTCACTTTAACCTCACCTAAAAGAATAACTGCAACCACACCTAAAAGTATCTCACTTTAACCTCACCTAAAAGAATAACTGCAACCACACCTAAAAGTATCTCACTTTAACCTCACCTAAAAGAATAACTGCAACCACACCTAAAAGTATCTCACTGTAATAACTTCAAGTGACAATACAACTCAAACAATTCCCAGGAAAACACAACCCATTCAGAAATCCCACAGACACTTCATCTTAGGGCTGGCCACATAAACAAAAGCCAAACATCTCTTGCACGTCTTGATCCCACACCTGTAGTTGACCTCCTTTCCCGTGGAGTCTGTCCCACGGCAGTACTTCAACCCACATGGGTACCACCCGATACATGTATGCACCTGGCAGGTACAGGGTTTACTGAGATCCTGCGTGTCCCGACACTTGCCATACTTGTTTGGAATCAGTTCTGCTGCTGCAGAGATGAGGGTGATAAAATCTTTGTCCAGTGCTGAAAGACAGGAAAATACATCAGTGTTTTCAGTATTAAAAATGCCCTGTTTTGTAAAGTATGTCGTTTAGTACATCAGATTTTGACAAGCACTTTTGCGTTTGCTTTCCCTTGCATCACCAAAGAGAGAAAAGAAATACTGACATCCTAAAAGATCTGAACATCAAGGAAGACTGGCTCATAAACACATCTTGTTTCTGCCTTAACTAGGTCAAGACTTGCAAGAGATATAAAAATGAACGAAAAGTAGATCAGTTAGCTTCACAATATAACAAACACACAAAAAACGTGAATGTTGCGGCTACAGAGCCTTCATCAGCACATACATAAATGAAATAAAACCACATGAATACACAAAAATTCCGTAACTGACGTATCCCAAAGCAGCCATGTTGATGTCTCTTGCCAGCGGAAGGAAAAGACACATATGGCCCGAGAATATAGTCAGGGAATGTAAAGGGCCGTAATCAAGAATTTCAGATGAAACTGTGTTGACAGTTCAGTCCCCTATGTGAAAATGAAGCAATTCTCAAGGGTCTTGCGGGCTCTGTCGCTAGAGTGGCTAGATTTAATGGCTGTCACTTCAATGTCATGGACACCTTGATGATCCTGGAAACTGAAGTGCAAAGGTACTGGCTTCAGGGCACCATTCTGCATATCCAAAAGATGTTGTCTGAGCCTGTCAGCCAGACGTAGACCTTGTGCAGTAGAATGCCTCACATATGTGGAAGATGGCAAGATACCCCCAAGATAAAGTGTCCAGGATTTTTTTAAGTCTAAGAAACTGAAATATTTTGGCCATTTCAAATGTAACGGTGGATTGAAAAGTATAGCTGCCGAGGGCATGGTACCGGGAAAGAGGGGCAGGGGCCAACCAGCAGGAAGATGGGCACAGGATGTGAGAGACACTTTGGGGAGGAAAGTGCTTGAGGCTGGGGACCTGGGGAGAAACAACAGTGTCTTTCAGGCAGGCTGTGATGGAGTGATGCTCTGCCAAGGACCTGATACATGATGAGTACCTAACCTTAACTCAGCAGTTTCAACCTGTAGGTCGCGACCCCGTTTGGAGTCGAATGATCCTTTCACATGGGCCGCCTAAGACCATCGAAAAACACAAATTCACTGGTTATGAAGTGGCAATACAAATAATGTTATGGTCTGGGGGCACCACAACACAAGGAACTGTTTTAAAGGGTCACCGCATTAGGACAATTGAGACGCACTGAACAGCCTCATCTCTTTAGTCCCCGTTTTCCTTCTACTCCTACTTTCCTGTTGTCACAACATCCTCTGCTTTCTTCAGGCTTTTGCTGACTGGGGTTATTCCTCCCAGAAGCTGTAACTTCACATCCATTTTCTTGCTCTGAAAGCTTCTACAAAAATCAAAATACATTTTTTTGTAATGTCCCAAGGAAAGCATTATGTGTGATCAAAGATTGTCCATGCACATCAACCAATGCATGGTGTTCAAACACATCTTTAACAATTTGGCACAGCTTACTAAAGACACCTGGCAAGATATGTTGGTACACAGCACAATAAATATTTCTCTCTGCAAGTAACATGCTTACCCCCCCCCCCCTTTTCCTGTAGTTAATGTACCAGCTCGACATTTACTACAAACTGTCATGTGACTGAAACAGTTTAGGGAGAAAATAAAAACCCAGGTAAATCAACTTTAGAGGGAAAGAGGAGAAGAGGCAGACCGAGAAAGACCTGGTTTCAGAACCTGATTGACTGGACAGGCCTCAGGCATGCAACCATGAAGTCCATCACAACTGACTGCCAAAGGCGGAGAGAGCTAATCAGACAGTCAACAGAAACTGGTGACCCAATGACATGCAGTGTTATGGAATGATAACCATGATGACGATGATGATGAATGCAACTTACACTTAGATATAGCTCTCAGATCAGATTCCTGACCATAGATGCCATCTTTAGCCTCGCTGCAGATGTTAAACACATATGGGCTGATCATGTAGGCTTTGTCCAGGTTGATGGTCAAGTCAAGCGTGTATATGTTCATCTCTCGTTCTTCCTCTGGAGTCCGAATGGCCGTTGGATTTTTCTATAAATGAGTAATTGAAACAGGTCCGAATGGCCGTTGGATTTTTCTATTAATGAGTAATTGAAACAGAGTCATCAGAGGAAGGGTACACTCAGATTCCCAGTCCTATTGTGAGGAAAACAGAACAGACCCACTGCCCCACTAACATGCAGGTTGTAAAAGTCCACCAATTAGGGGCTGTTTCATTTGAAGTCAGAATGCACCTACCTAAGAGGTAAAGAACCAACAGTCTGCATATAAATAAGCCAGATCTGTAAAATGAATGTTGACACAAAACTCTAGTTCTGGAACAAGACTAAGCTCCAGAAGTTAACAACAAAGAGAACTTTCTGCCAAAGTTTACAGCAGGTGTATGGAAAGAGGAAGAAGGCAGTCAGAACAAAATATGTTCTTATTTTTTTCAAAAACTGCAGGCTTCAGTCTATGGTGTTGAACCCATATTTTTTTAATCAATCAAATAAGCCTCTACTGGTGATGTGGACAATATCACTCTCGACACTTTTACTTCCAAGGACAATTTCTAGCACCCAGTTTAGGTTGAATCCACCTTGGAGCCTGCAGGCAAGCATCCAGCCGCTGCAGTGCTGTGACTTCCTCTTGACAAGGTGACATGATACTATTTCCTTCGAGTTCAGGCAAAGGGCATCTGAGGTCAGGAATAATGAGGGCTGACAGGTTTAACAAACTGTGAACTGAAGGTTTATTCACCTTTACCTCTAATATCAAATTAGTGCTGTTGTAATGTGCTTCCTCCTCTACATCTTTGTTTGGCCTTAAAAGGGCAGTTAGCATGTTGTGTCATGGTTTACAGCTAGGCTGAGATATCTGCACCATTTGGTCAAACAAATCTGATTTCTGCAAACTCCTAATATGTCACTATTTATTAAATGCTTGTGGGGAAAAAGGGGGGGGGGGGGATTATTTACCCCCTCCCCAAGGTCTCAGGATCCATTCTGGAATGTATGGAGCTGAAACACAGAGAACAAATAAAACAACTGCTAATAAACTACAAACATGCATTAACTGGTACAGGCCCTGAACAGAGGGGATTTAAATCTGAATCCTTAATGTAAAGCTTCAGGAGAGAACTAAGCAAATTCCAGTGAATCATGAGGTGAAGAAAAGATGCTGGCTTAGGACAGGACACATAATGAGAAAACCTGATAACAATATGATTACAATGTCCTTGCAATGGAACCCACATAGCAATAACAACACAAAAGTAAAGGAGCTTTTCCCCACGCCTTCAGGGATACTGAGCATACAGTGCTAGACCTATATTTTTACACATCAACAGGGGTGGCTGATGTGGTCAGCATCACCGCCTTTACTTCCCAGAACTGCATCTGGTAGCCACTAACAGCTGCGTCAACCTGGGAGCCAAGGTCATTTTTTTTTTAAAGTCTGGCTCAGCCAGGACCCGAAGCCACATGGTCAAGGAAAAAAGGCAAACTACAAAACAAATGGCAAAGGGAACTACCGAGAAGTTAAACAGACAGGAAGAACAGGGTTGAGATGCATGTGAACTGGTTGAGGCCTCTGCTTCAGCAGGGAATAAAGAGCAGAAGAATAATAATGTTACCAACCTGTCGAAGCTTGGACATGGCGTCAGCAGTAATAAAATCACTCCTCATGAAACGAGTGATGAAGCAAATAACTTGAGGCTGGGTCTGTCCAAGTTCCTCTTCCCCCAGAATATATATGCGAAAAATCTGTACCTCCTAGATAAATAAAACAAAAAAGCCAATTAAACTTATGCAGTAAATGTACCACACTGAAAACACAGGTTATCATCTGATCACCAAAGTCGAGCACTACTGGGTGTGGTTGGTAGTTAGATGGGTGACCACTGAGGAACACTATGTGTTGTAGACTTTTGTTTAAAATAGTAATATAAATCTATGTGTGAGTTCCACCAGCCTATGGGGAAGGAGTGGGGAAGGAGTGGGGGGGGGGGGGGGGCTGACCCACTGTCTTCTAACAAACATGCTGATAGAGGAAACTAATAAGGATTGTTTCCTCTGAAGTCAGAATGCAAGAAACCAACACTGAAGTCAGAATGCAAGAAACCAACACTGAAGTCAGAATGCAAGAAACCAACACTGAAGTCAGAATGCAAGAAACCAACACTGAAGTCAGAATGCATCTGCCTGACAGGCAAGAAACCAACACTGGAGTCAGAATGCAAGAAACCAACACTGGAGTCAGAATGCAAGAAACCAACACTGGAGTCAGAATGCAAGACACCAACACTGGAGTCAGAAGGCAAGAAACCAACACTGGAGTCAGAATGCAAGACACCAACACTGGAGTCAGAAGGCAAGAAACCAACACTGGAGTCAGAAGGCAAGAAACCAACACTGGAGTCAGAAGGCAAGAAACCAACACTGGAGTCAGAATACAAGAAACCAACACTGAAGTCAGAATGCCAGAAACCAACACTGGAGTCAGAATGCAAGAAACCAACACTGGAGTCAGAATGCAAGAAACCAACACTGGAGTCAGAATGCAAGAAACCAAAACTGAAGTCAGAATGCATCTGCCTGACAGGCAAGAAACCAACTCTCAAGTCAGAATGAATCTGCCTGACAGACAAGAAACCAACTCTGAAGTCAGAATGCATCTGCCTGACAGGCAAGAAACCAACTCTGAAGTCAGAATGTATCTGCCTGACAGACAAGAAACCAACTCTGAAGTCAAAATGAATCTGCCTGACAGACAAGAAACCAACTCTGAAGTCAGAATGTATCTGCCTGACAGACAAGAAACCAACTCTGAAGTTAAAATGCATCTGCCTGACAGACAAGAAACCAACAATGAAGTTAAAATGTATCTGCCTGACAGGCAAGAAACCAACAATGAAGTTAAAATGTATCTGCCTGACAGGCAAGAAACCAACACTGAAGTCAGAATGAATCTGCCTGACAGGCAAGAAACCAACACTGAAGTCAGAATGAATCTGCCTGACAGACAAGAAACCAACCCTGAAGTCAGAATGCATCTGCCTGACAGACAAGAAACCAACTCTGAAGTTAAAATGCATCTGCCTGACAGACAAGAAACCAACTCTGAAGTTAAAATGCATCTGCCTGACAGACAAGAAACCAACTCTGAAGTTAAAATGCATCTGCCTGACAGACAAGAAACCAACATTCAAATAATCCAGTCCTGTAAAATAGATGTGTATGCAAAACTCAGGTTCTGGAAGAGGCCAACTTTCAGGCGTGATTGAACAACCACAACTTTCTGTGAATTTTACAACTGGTGAATGCAAAGAAGCAAGAAAAAGTTGATAAAGACAGAAATAATGAATCATCACCAATAACTCATGACCCAAGTCATGAGTTGGGAGCCATGGTAGAGAATTTATTTCTGATCAAAAATTATTCGGTTCAAATTTGCACGATAGTGACTTTTTAAATTTTTATTTTACAAATGATCGGGGCACCCAGCCTAAAATAGGTACCAGGAAATATCATGGGAGATAAAGGCAGCCAGGATGTTGACCACACAACCTAATAAAAACCCCGTTGGTCTATAAAAATATGGTTCTAGTATCATATGCCAATAACATGGGAAGGGTCCAGTCATTGGTTGTAGGGGTCTCACGATGGATCCCTCAGCAATCAGAACCCTCCATTCCCTGTGTGGGTTGTGGGGCCCCATTGTGGGGAAAACAAGAATAGACCCACAGCCTGCCTAAAAACATGTCGTAAGAGTCGACTAAATAGGAGCTTACTTCGAAGGGGGAGTTCATCTGCCTGAGAGGCAATGAATCAACAGTCTGCATGCAGATAAATCAGACTGTAAAACAGATGTGCATGCAACACTCAGTTTCTGGAGCAGGACTAGAGTCCAGAAGCAGGGAAACAACAAACTTTCCGCCGGAGTTTAAAGCCAGTGAAACAAAGAAGAAGAAGTCCTCTATCACTAACTACTATTCTTAGTGAAATGTGTAAGTGCCTGAGTAGTTTTATTCACTCTTTCTACTAATGTATCTGTCAGATCAGGATACTTTTTGTCTTGCAATTTTATAATTAGTCAGTTATTTGCATATCTTTTTCAGGGCACAGTAAACTAACTCCTAGCATCAGTTGTGGTTGTATTAAAGAATTTTACATTCAGCAATCTGCCATTGCTCTCTGAACTGTTTATGCTCAGATATCTGTCAATTTCAACCCAAAATGGTCTGCTCCCAAAATGAATTATGAAACTACATTCATAGTCTATGCACATAGATAAAATTCAAGATCAAGAAGATTATCAAAATTCTCCATTTCATAGCGTAAAGAGCAGAGACTACAACATATTCATTCCACTGAAAGTTAAGTAGTAAAACAAAGAATAGAGAAGAAGGCTATCCTCCGAATAACGGTCCTAAATTATGGAGGCGGGAAATATACCCTAACAGGGCCTCAGTCACGTGTCAATTGCACACTTCCGGGGACTATTACGCCACCGTCTAAGTGCAAACTTCCGGCAACCTCCGCGAGTATCCCCCATGCCGCTCACGCAGCGTGGATTGGGGCTAAACTAGATGGCTAGGACTCACAAGCAAATAAAATAAAGGAAGCAGCAGGAGATGTGGTAGCTGCTGCTCGTGATTCCCAGCCATCTAGTTTAGCCCCAATCCACACCGCGTAAGTGGCGTGGGGGATACTCTCGGCGGTGGCGGAAGTCGCCGGAAGCGCGTAATTTAAGATGATGGGACTGCACAATTGACATATGACTGAGGCCCTGTTAGGGTATATTTTCCGCCTCCTTAATTTAGGACCGTTATTCAGAGGATAGCCGAGAAGAAAATGTGTATTTAATATTTTAAAATGATCACAGCAGCTGGGTCTGAAAATCCAAAAAGAAAAGACAAAGATAATGAGAATAAATCAGGCAAATAGTAGTGTGGTAATGGCACCCCACTCCAAGACGTGGAGTCGTACACCTATTTGGGCAGTAATGTAGGTAAAGATGGAGGAACTGATAGAGATATTAAAATAAGAATACAAAAGGCAAGAGGGGCTTTCATAGCACTAGGGAATTTGTGGAGGTCAAAAGAAATTAAAAGAAATACTAAACTAAAAAATGTTTAATTCTAATGTCAAAACAGTACTATTGTATGGGGCGGAAACTGACAACAAAAATATATTCCTGCAGTATAAATGTAAATAAACTTATGAAGAACTAGGAACAATACTTCTTCTTCTTCGCGTTCACCAGCTGTAAACTTTGGCGGAAAGTTCTGGTTGCTCGTCCACTTCTGGACTGCAGTCTTGCTCCAAAACCTGAGGGTTAGCTGTGCATCCGTTTTACAGATCTAACACATTTGTATGCAGACTGCTGTTTACTTGTTTCTCAGGCGGATGCACTCCGACTTTGAAGGAAGCTCCCAATTAGTGGACTCTTACGACATGCTTTTGAGTAGGCATTGGGTCTATTCTTGTTTTCCCTATAACAGCGCCCCGGAACCCACAGGGGGAAAAACAATACAATAAGTATAAGTTCAATAAGTTTCAATAACAAATCCGAAAACCCGTCACTTAACTTGACTATCATAAGCTAGAACCGTACGCACGTAAGAAAGTTTTTATTTTTATTTTATTTATAAATATGAATGTTAAATATCTTAACATGAAAAGCTGATAAACTAGCTCTTACAGATTTAAAATCTATGAACTGTGTCACAAACGAGCCGTCCGAACCGAGGAACTCCAACGTAACAGTGTCTGCAGAAGTGTTTGCGACAATTTTCTCCACAATTGTTTCTCCGCCTTTGTTTCTAGCATTTACGATAAGTTGGCCAACTATATATGGCATTACTGCCGAGATAAAATATACACACTGTATAAATGCTGCCATTTTATATTTAATACAGAATACTTTGTAAATTATAATAAGTTTATAATATTTCTATCCGTCGGCGGCCGTCTTTTCTGTGTCTGCCATCTTTGTTTATGGTAAAACTTTCGTTTCCGGTGTCAAACTAAAACGATCATCATCATCATCATGAATCCCCTCCTTCTTCTCGTTTACCGGCTGTCTCTCCAGCAGAAAATTCTGGTTGTTTGTCCATCTCTGGTTTGTCGTCTTATTCCAGAGCCTGAGTGTTGCGTGCAAATCCCTTTTACAGATCTTACTTATTTGTATGCAGACAGTTGGGTCCTTGCCTTTCAGGCAGATGCAATCCGAATTTTAAGGAAGCGCCCCCCCCCCCCACACACACACCTCCCCAACCACTTAGTCGACTCTTACAATATGCATGTTTGGAGATGCACTAGGTCTCTTCTCGTTTTTCCCTCAATAGGGCCCCGGAACCCAAACGTGAAAATGCACTCGTAATTCTGCTCAGCCTCATGATGTCCAGGCTGACCTCTACTACGGTATAAAGACGTGTGCAAGCGGGATATGAATGATACAGGCATTGAGATGGACTCATAGGAACAAAATGCCATGGACCGTGTTGTGTGGAAAGGGCATATCAGAAAGGGAATGAGAGTGAAGGAAGAAAAGATTGCAGAAAGGATGAGAGCTGAGTGTCTGAAAAGAAACGCATTAAACACAATTGTTGACAACAATGAGCCAGAAATTCCATGCTATCATTGTTGAAGACTTTTCTTGACACGGGCGGGTCTTGCTAGTCACACTCGTCATCGCCATGGGCTGTGAGTCCCACGTCTTCTCATAGCGTAATATAACGCTATCGTCTGGAAAGACGGAAAGGTGCCAATCAATCATGATGTCCATCCACCCATCCATCCATTTATGAAAAACAAAACAAAAAATCGACCACGGGCAACTTACTTTGAGCAGTATCGGTTATAATTGTGGTCTGGTTCCAACTATGTTGGCTAATAAATGTTATTTGCACCAAAACTAGTGTCTTGGAACCGTACTCTAGTACATAGTGAGGGTTACACTTATCAGTTTCATATTTGTGCCAGGGCACGCAGGTGTGCAAGGAAATGAGCAAGCAGATCGGCTTGCAGGTAAAGCTACTGTGGAGGGCGGACGAGCCATGGACCATACTGATTTTCTGAATACCCCACTCTACGTAAAGTAAGACGTTTGCGAGAACCAAGTGATGATTGTAAATCTGCAACCATGACCAGACTGCAAGAAAAGATCAGAGAGGCGTGGCCAGACAAGAGTGCTATGCAGGAAGCCAAAGAAGAAAAAGAAATTAACGCAGAAATGGTGTCGTGGGCCGCGCTATACGCTGCTGGATTTACCAAGGAGGGGATCCGAGAACTTATGGACTGAATTGAGTTGAGCTGATTCAAGAACCGACATCACAGCACTTAGGGCATTCCCATAAGCGCTCGGCCCCAGTCTTCAGCAACCAGTGAAGAGTTCCGATACCAATGGTGTCAGTAGTATTCTGATTTAAACTTCCGTCTTGCCTTTCCTCTGAGCCTTGAGCATCTGCCAGAACCTCTCGTCACTCCCCCCCCCCCCCCCCCCCCCTCCCTGCATCAATCTCACCAGACTGGTGATCCATCTGCTCCTCCGAACTGTACACACTCTCCCACAAGGCATTAACAACGTCTGCCTTATCATGCATCAGTACTCCAACAAGTTGTGCAGAGCCAGCCAGTCTGTCCGCTTATTCATTTCCATACACACCGGCGAATTCCGGTGAAAAATTGGACTGAATGATTCGATGTGCAGTGAGGATAAACTGTGGACTAACCAACTAACTTATCAACTAACTAACTTACCAACTAACTAACTTACCAACTAACTAACTTACCAACTAACTAACTTACCAACTAACTAACTTACCAACTAACTAACTTACCAACTAACTAACTTACCAACTAACTAACTTACCAACTAACTAACTTACCAACTAACTAACTTACCAACTAACTAACTTACCAACTAACTAACTTACCAACTGACTACCTTACCAACTAACTAACTTACCAACTAACTAACTTACCAACTAACTAACTTACCAACTAACTAACTTACCAACTAACTAACCCAGTGAGTGTTGCTGGGATTGGGGCTGGTGTGCACTAAACAACTATGTACAATTGCCATGGATAGTGCTGCACAGATGGGAGACAACAGTAACATAAAAGTGATAAAAATTAACATGAATGCAGATAGGTTGAAAGCTGAGCGTTAACGAAGAAGCACGTTAAATATACGCGATTCCAATAATAGTCCTGAAACTATTCTCTAATTGTGGAAGAACTTTCTTAAAGCGAGCTGGCTTTGTTGGTCACACTCGACATTGCCACGAGCTGCGATGTTCTGAAGCAAAATATACCTCTATAGTCTTCCGGTAAAAGTTGACGCTAGGCGCGGACACTGTGCTTAGTCGTGGCTAAATCTTAGCTTCTGATAGATGGTGGGCGTTGCAATTTCCTCTATTTGTAACCTGAGAGGATATAGTTGTGTCGCCCGGCTACTGAGTTAAGTTCATCGCGCGACACTGTGAGCTTGGAATGATTTCATTTGGAATGTTTTTTGACCTTGATCAACGTAGGGTTGTGAGCTAAAGATTTAGAAAATGGCGCGTTGCGCGTATTTACATAATAGGTGGTGTCTTATGTGATTACACTTGATCGCGTGTGCAACTACTGATATGTTTGTAACTGCTCCTTACCTCCATGATGAGCTGCCCTTATAATGATGGACTGTTTGTGTTAGCGTTTCTTGTGGCTGCCTTATGCTTTTATTGCATGTATATGCTGGTCGACGCGCTGAGACTGCAGTGTGTGTCTATTTTTCCACAATCTGTGTGTTTTTCGTTGGCACATGAGCGGAGCAACTATAGGGTGTCCCGTTTGCTATGAAGCTGAAACTGAAGTTGTGAAGTTTAAACAACGGATCAACATCGTGGCGCTCCGTTCTACTTCTAACTCAAGTGTGAGTCCGAAGTAGCTCAGCGCAGTGCACAGGCTCCGTAGCACCGGTGAGGATTCTGAAATATTTTGGGTAGATTTTTAACTCCAAATGTTGCCCTGGTAGCGCCGTTATGCTAATTTTTTCGATTTACAACCACCAAGAGATTTTTTTTACGTGCGCAACAGTACACACGGGCATCCGATCTCACTACCCAAAAACCAGGGGAAATTACTATAAGTCCATGTGATCATTAAAAAAAATCCAGCCTTCACCCGGGTCTGAACATTGGACCTCTAGCACTCGAGGGGTACACCATACTTCGAGACCACGCAGCCCATCTGAAGCTGAAACTAAGATCACAAAATACCTCTATAGTCTAGAAAGACGAAAGGATGTCACCGAACGAAACAAATAAAATAATAAAAAGTTAGTTGCGTATCCTTTACAGTGTGTTGCAGAACCAACCCCGGCATTTTTTAGTTATTGTAATTTTTCTAGGCACATTTTTATGTTCAGAAGTTTGCCATTGCTCTAAGCGGCCAGCTCTCATTGCCACCGTCGAAATCAACACAGAACCTTCTGCTGCCAAATCGTCCGCAGCTGTGATCGAATCTGGCATCCCGGCATTACGGTAATAGTAAATCTGGCAAATGAATGTGTTTCAGTCCGCTTCAAAAAACCGCTATGTTTCTCCATTTAGTGACTTCAAACTCGATCTGTAGTACCCGAAGGTTTGAGGTTTGAACAACGGATCAACATCATGGCACACGAGTAGTAACCCATAAAAAGTAAAGTAAAGGACCCTTTTCCGCGTCATTAGGCGTATAGGGCATATAGGGCTAGGCCTATATTTTTATAGACCAATCGGCACAAGATGGGTGATGTGGTCAGCATCACGCCGGCCGCCTTTAATTTCCCGGTACAGCACCCGGTACCCACTCAAAGCTCGGTCGACCTGGGGGCCAAGGTCATTTAAAAAAAAAAAAAGTCCGGCTCCGCCAGGGAGCGAACCCATGACCTTCCGATCCGCGACGAGCGTCTAGCCGCTCGGCCACGGCGACTCCTTAGTAACCCATAAGTGCTCTGTTATTCTCAAGCGCTGAGTCCGAAGAAGCAGCTCAGCACAGTGCACAGGCTCTGTAGCACCGGCGAGGATCCTGAAATACTTTTTGTAGATTTTAACTATAAATTTTGTCTGGCCAGCGCCGTTAGGCTACTCTTTTCGATTTCCAACTGCTAAGGGATTTTGTATGTGCGCAACAATGCACACGGGCGTCCGATCTCATTACCCAGAGACCAGGGGAATTACTAGAAGTCCAAGTCCACTTGAAAAAATCCCAGCCCCTACCGGGATTGAACCTGAAACCTCTAGCACTCGAGGCGGACACCATACCTCGAGACCACGCAGCTCCCTTTGTAGTAACGGAAATATTGTAATGTTATAAACGTACAGAACGCTGGATAAGAAGACACGTAAAGAAATGTTGTATTTAAAAAAGGAGGGTGGAGGAGAACTTCTTCGTCTTCTTAGTTAGCCTGTCCTCTTCTTTCGCCTTTTCGGGTGGTTGACACGTTGCGTTGTGGTTTACAATTAGGCTGCGATGTCTGCGACTTTCAGTCCAACACATTCGATTCAGCAAACTAATTAGTTGCTTGTTTGTGTGACATGCTTTTCTAGGGGTGGCGGGTTTATTGCTATCCGAGAATGGCTTGTAACGGTTGGCAACATAAAGAAATAAAGAGCCAGGGGAAGGCCAAGAGATAAAAACATGATGAGGCTTCATAAGGCGCTAAGATATAAAACACTGAGGTATTGTTCTAAATCGCACCAGACATTGAAACATATATGTATATACTTACTTTACTTTACTTTTACTTTTTCCTTCCACGTATGCCGCTAAGCGTTGTGGGGAGATGCAAGTTCCTGTCATAAGCAAGGCGGGCAGCATCTGATGTTCTGAGGCCATGCTTTTGGCAGGTTTCGGAGACCCCGTCAATCC